CGGGCAATAATTTCTCTAATAAATGTATTTCTGTATCTTGATATCCGCCTTCGAAGTAAACTTTTACTGTCTGTAATAACATAAAATAAATCTTACTAACATAAATATGAAAGTTTAGATGGATGTTTGTTACAGTTTGTAGCCTAAACTGCTGAACGGATCTTGATGAAACTTGGCATAGATGTAGAGGATAGTCTGGAAGAACAGATAGTCTGTTTTTTATAATTTCACGCAAACCGAGATCCGGATCGAGATGAACGGATCTCGATAATTGTGAAATAAAGGATAGGTTTTTTTTTAACATAAATAAACCAGTGCTTGACCACGACTCCACCTAAGCTAAGAACACATAGGATATTTTTTTATTCCGCACAAAGTCACGGTAGAAAGCCAGTAAATAATTTTATTACCTTTTCAGGGATAGGTTTGTTCAATTTCCCGCTGGGCAGTGGTTCAGGGTCTGCAAGCTGGCTCATACCAACGCCACGAACACGCACATCGTCCACTATCACGTCCCTATCCGCTAACGTGAACCCGAACTCATTCTTATATCTAAAAATATAAATTGATTAAGATAATACTATCAAAAAGTGGGAGGCCAGCTTCGCCCCTAGAATCTAAAAAAGACATAGACATGTTTGGAATAAACCAATTTATAAGTCTGACCCTTTCCACCTCCTCAAGCAGTATCTCTCTTAGTAGTCTATCTCTTTCACTCACCTATCAACAAGCAGTTATCTATCTCTTTTTCGGTAACATGAGTCATGCCGGGCTAGGTGAACTATGACTCTGAGCCCGACACACCAGGCATGTTGCCCCCTTGCCTGACGGTGCTATAAAGCATTTTTCCTTCAATAAGAATAATAAATAAAGTAGTCTATCTCTTTCACTCACATATCGGATATAGTCTATCTCTGTCACTCGCATATCGAATATAGTCTATCTCTCTCACTCAAATATCGAATATAGTCTATCTCTCTCACTCACATATTGACAAGCAGTAGTCTATCTCTTTCACTCAGATAACCTCAAGCAGTATAAATAGTGTATCTCTGTCTCACCTATCAAGAAAAGCAGTACAGTCTATCTCTGTCTCACCTATCAATAAAAGCAGTGTAGTCTATCTCTCTCTCACCTATCAACAAAAGCAGTACAGTCTATCTCTGTCTCACCTATCAAGAAAAGCAGTGTAGAAGTCGCCGTGGCGGCAGGCGGAGCGCGAGCGCGTGTCCATGAGCG